TATAATAGTAACTCTTCTTTTTCATTGTTAAGTGAAAAGTTTCATGAGGCAGTTCCTGAGTTCTCTGGTCGACTAAATGATGTTCACCCTGAATTATTTTTGAGTCAGGTCGATTCTTATTTTGAGAATGTGGTGGCTTCTGAACAGCAGAAAATTAATTGTGTGCAGCGTCGTCTAATACAAATTGCTAGAATTTGGTATGATGCTCTTGTTCCTCCGCCTACTACTTTCGAAGAGTTCAAAGTTTTGTTTAGAGCTCAGTTTTGGTCTGAGGCAGTTCAACATCGTGTTTACGATGAGGTTTTGCGTCCCTATAAATATACGTCTTCTACTGGACTGACAACTCATGCGATGCAGTGGATTGCTAAGGCACGGTTCTTGGACCCGCCTATCTCTCCCTCTCGTCTAGTGAGAGTTATTTGTCAGCACTTCAATGACAGTATCTGTACTGCTCTTTTAGGTCGAAATCCTAAATCTACATCTGAACTTTTGTCTGTCTTGTCTGAGTTAGAGAACTCACAATCTTTTCATTCTTTTACTTATAATCATAATTCTTCTAATAATGTGGGATATACAGTGGAAACACGGCCCACCACTCAAAATGAACGTCGGCAGTACAATAATTATAATAATTATCGTCGTGGTAATTATAATAATAATAATTTCCGTGGTCGCGGTAATGGTCAGAGGGACCAACCGGATCAACAGCATCCAAATATGTCTGTTCAGGGAAACGGAGAGACGAACGCTTGAGGGACTCGGCCCCGTCACGTTCGTCACTACCTCCAGTCGAGCCCTCTTCTGACCCTGCTGTAAATCTTTTAAAAAATAGTGTCTGTTCTTTTTCATCACCAGAATTAAATTTAGTTTTGTTCAGTTTTCCCTATCGTGCTCTCTTAGACTCAGGTGCGACTTGCTCTGCTGTCTCTGAAGACACATTTAAAATTCTTAGTTCTAAGGTTTCTGATGTTAAGTTGTTGCCCCAGCTACCAGTGACTGGTATTACGATTTCTACCGCTGTAGGTGGTCGTAGCAAAAAGGTTCATAGTCAGGTGCTTTTGAGTTTTTCTATTTGTGATCGTGTGTTTGAGTGTATTTTTTTGATTGTACCACAATTGTCGGTTCCTTTTATTTTGGGTGAAGATTTTCTTCACAAGTATTGTGTACTTTTAGATTATTCTTGTAATTTAATTAAATTTTCTTTGTGTGGCCTTGAAGTGCCGTTTTTGTCTACCAGTGATATGAATAGTGAAGTTAAATTATCTTCAATTAAATTGTCAGCTGCTCCTATTGTTGTACCTGAGTCCGAATTTGACCAGTGTGAATCTGCGGTTAGCAGTTTGTCAGCAGTTATTTCATCTGAAAGAGTTTCACTTAGCATTAATCATTTGTCTACTCAGTCTACTCTTAGTGAGAGCGTTATTCGTGAGAAGGTTGATGAAATTCCTAGTCTTGATTCTAGTCAGAAGTCAAAATTGTTTGATGTTTTAAATAGTTACCGTTCTGTGTTTAGTGACCGACCTGGTCTAAATAATTTATACACATGTAAATTTGAAGTTGTCAAAGATGAACCTTTTAAGATCAAGCCTTATCCCATTCCTTTTTCACAGCGATCTGCTGTTGAAAAAGAGTTGAATCGCATGTTAGAGTGGGGGGTGATTGAACGTAGTTCGTCACCTTATGCTAGTCCGATCATCTGTGTTAAAAAACCAGATGGATCTGTCCGTTTATGTCTTGACGCTCGTCGGATTAATTCTATCATAGTTCCTATGCGTGATTCGTCTCCACCTTTGGATGAGATTTTGGCTCGGTTTTTTGGTAAACAGTATTTTTCATCCATTGATTTTTCGTCCGGTTATTGGCAGGTTGGATTACATCCGTCCGTCCGGAAATATGTATCTTTTGTATACAATGGACGTACTTATTCTTTTTGTCGTGTACCTTTTGGTCTTAATATTTCTAACACTGCATTTGGTAAAGCTTTGGAAGCGTCACTTGCATGTTATACTTTCGATTCTTACGCTGGACATGATAGTGATGTTCAAGCTTATGTAGACGACGTTCTTGTGTCTACAGTGTCTTTTGATGACCACCTTAAATGTCTGTCTGATCTGTTCCAAAATATTCTTAAGTCGGGCATGACACTAAAATTTTCTAAGTGTAATTTTTTTAAAAGTGAAATTAAGTTCCTTGGACATATAGTTACCCCGCGTGGTCTTGTTATGGATAACAGTAAATTGGAAGCTGTACAAAAATACCCACCACCACGTAACAAGAAAGAATTACAATCTTTTATTGGTTTCTGTAATTTTTATCGCAAGTTTTTAGACCATCATGCGTCGCTGATGAGTCCTTTGATTGAATTATTGTCTCTACCTGTTTTCAAATTTACTAATGAGAATCGTGATCAATTTGAACGTGTAAAAAATTCTTTTTCGAATGTCATTCTGGTACATCCAAATTTTAATTCTGAGTTCTATATTCAGACTGACGCGTCTAAGCTTGGGCTTGGCGTTGAACTATTTCAATTGGACAATAACAGTCAACGTAACACAATTGCATTTGCGAGCCGTGTACTTAATGCTGCGGAGAAAAATTATTCTATTACGGAAATGGAACTGTTGTCAATTGTGTTTGCTTGTACGAAATTTCGTGTATTTTTATTGGGACATCGTGTGAATGTAATTACAGATCATCAGGCTCTTGTGTTTCTATTTAAATGTCGTTTGCGAAACGCTCGGTTAACGCGTTGGACTTTATTATTGCAAGAGTACGATTTAAATATTGTTCATTGTCCTGGGACTCAAAATGTAATTGATGCTCTCTCGCGTAGCCCTATTGGTCGTGATGAAATAGTTGAAGAACCTATGCCTAGATTGATGAGTTTAAAAGTCGAAGCGCCCCCAAAACTTTCAGCTGACATTATTGAACTACTTAAAAATGTTGATGTACACCAACGGTCCGATTCTAAATTAAGTGTGGTCATAACAAAATTATCTACATCGTCCCACGTTCCAGTATTATCTGATTATTATATGATCTTTAATAACATTTTATTTCGCCGAAGGTCCAAATCCAATGAATCTTGGTTAATCTGTTTACCCAATAATTTAATTGCTACTGTGGTCATTAAATTTCATGAATTATATGGTCATGTTGGAGCAAGGAAATGTGTAGGTGTTCTGAGAGATTTTTGTGTATTTACCAATATGGATAGAATAGTCCGAAAGCTATTATCATCTTGTGATATTTGTCAAAGAGCTAAACCTTCTAATCAACGAGTCGAAGGATTTATGCAACATGTCCTGTCTGATAATGTGTTGGACAAGGTTCTGGTTGATTTGTATGGACCTCTCCCAATTGGCTGGAATGGAGTACAGTATATTTTTGTAGTGTTGGATAATTTTTCAAGATTTGTTCGGTTATACCCACTAAAAAGGGCCACTGCATCAGCTACCCTTAATCGGATTATTAAAGACTACATACCGTCTCACGGTAAACCAAAAATCATAGTCTCTGATCACGGTAAACAGTTCAGTAGCCGTTTGTGGCAATCCCGGCTATCTGAACTTGGCATTCCACCTACACATACAAGTGTATACCATCCACAATCTAATCCGTCTGAAAGAGTGATGCGTGAATTGGGACGTTTATTTAGAACTTATTGTCACCAATACCATACAGAATGGCCCCGTTATTTATCTTATATTGAGTGGGTACTTAATCATACTATCCATGAGTCTACTGGATACACACCGGCGAGTTTATTCGAAAATCAGGAAGAAGAGACCCTTATCAATAGTATCATTGAATTTCAAAAAAAATACAAACGGACAACTTGTCGCTTCGGCAGTATAGATGAGAAAAAAAATCTGTTGTAGCGGCATTTGTGTAGTGGCCGGTGATCATGATGTCGCCGGGTGGTGGTGGTGCCAACTTTGAACACGTTCATTGAGGGGACATAACAATATTGGTACAGGTGCACAATGTACGGTCAGCTGATGATTACAGATATCGGACCGGTTGACAAGTGAAGGTTATCATATACAAAATTATGAAAATACTTTACACCTACTGCACACACATCTAATTGATAAGATTTAAATATATAAAAAAAAAAAACTCGTATAAATTCTGTAACATTACAAGCATATCAAATGTCGAATTTCATCTGGTTACGCAGTCTTGTTTTAATTTTAATATTGGTAGGCCCATTTGAGTTAATATGGAATTAAGTTTTGCCAAAACATTACTGCTACGTTAAAAATATTCAACTATTTTTTTTACTTTAGCTACCATTACTGCAATATTCTCAAGAGAGTGTTGAACAATGAGATTAACGAATGAGCAAAACATCCTAAATGCCGATAATGTAATTGAGCAGCTGCTCAATACAGCAGCAGTAATATTTGCAGCATTGTCAGTAACAATGGCTACAATTTTATTACTAACCTTCCATTCAATTGATAATTTTTTTAAAAAGGCAGCTATATTATCTGAATAGTGTCGTTGGTTAAAATGTTCACAACCAAGACAGACAGAACAAATTTTACCTTCATCATTAATAAAATGAGCTGCAACTGCAATATAGCTCCTATTATTAATACAAGTCCATCCATCTGTTGTTAATGACAATGCATTAGCATTTTCATCTTTTTTTTTCAAAACTTCTAAAGTGAAAAATTGAATAATCTTGGAATTAGATTTTTTGACACAGCTGGCGGCAAGGAAGCTCATATGCAGGGTTTAAAATTTTTAATAAATTTCTAAATTCCTAGTCGTCCACTATAGAAAACGCATAATATCTATATTATAAAACAAAATATTAAAATAGTGGTGTTGTAATGTATTAAGCTAATATAACCTTATTTGCACCAGTAACAAAACTTCTATAAAACATATACATGTATATATTATATAAAAATTGTGAATGTTTGAAAATATTTAAAAATTTTAAAACCAGTAAGGCTCTTAATTATATTTACACCATAATAGTTTTAGGTAGGAATATAATATTAATTTAAAATATATTTATTAATTTTCTTTTTGTTTCTAGTCAAATTGTATTTATACTTTTAATATGAATAAAATAAAAATATGTAGTTACCCTTTAACAATCATTTCTGTAACTTGCTCATCATTCTGCTTTGATCTACTGACTGTCATAGGTTTTTTATTCTGCATAAAATGCATAGTGCTGCTTTGAGTACGATTAATATTAGTGGAACTAGTAGGTTGGCTCGCATTACTTACAATAATACCAGGAACATTTAATGTTTCATATGATGAACCTACTCATTTATTCATACAAAATAACAAAGAGATTTAATTCAAATATATACATTTAAATTGATGAAAGAAAAATAAAATTAAAAAACAATTTATCAAAAATACCATGATTTGTAGGATCGTCCACAAAATTTTCATTGCTATTTACAGTAACTTTTGAAATAAGTACAGCAGAATGTACTGTTTTTATAAGACGACTCAAATTACCAAAAGATCCACCAGCAATGCTCAATATTTTACTATAATACCCACATTTGGCTCTACTATTTTCCAACTCGGTAAAGTGATTCCACATATCACTCTTTTTACGTGGGGCCATTATAAAGAATTTATCAAATTTACTTTTAAATTTTAAATTAGGTATAAAAATACTCAAATTTGAAAAACTCACTAAGCTTAAAGAAATAAACACAGTTCATAGTTAAATGCAAGATTACTAATAATTATTGGTGTATACATTAATGTATAGGTATTAGATTAGATATACTTGGATAAAGTTTTTAGTCAGGAATTGACATGTCTATTCAGGTTATTTTACAAGAAATTATAACCACTTGTATTATTGTTTGTTCAAGTTCTATTCTCTTATTATTATTATTATTATTACATTAATATCATCATATGTGTAAATCATATTTTTTTATACTTTAAATCTCTCGACTTATTTGAAATTAAAATTTAGCAAGACACCAATTTTTTCTTTAAATTGTTATCATACAAATTAATAAAAATAGAGATATAACTTTATATAAATAACACATGTAATAACATTAGAAGTATTTATTATTTAATGAATACAAATAAAAAATAAAAATTAATGCTATACAAAAGTAATTAAAATAATATTAAAAATTATGTATATATTTAATTTAACCTTTTAATATTCCTCTTTGTTATTTCTATCTGTATTAGATTATTCACCATTGTAATAGTATTAACTAGGTACATAAATATATTATGTAAAATAAACAAAAAAGAAGTATATTTATACATAATAATAATAATAGTTTGTCTATTATATTTAAGTACCTAGGTATCCATCCAGTATCCATTTTATATAAAGAATAAATCTAAATCTAAAATTAATATCTGGTACTAAATAGTTCTTGGGATAAAAATGGAATCAAAATTTCTGCAATCACTCAATTGGCCTCTGTATTTAGATAATCTTGAAATTTGAAAGTACCAACATTTTAATTTTTATAATTGAATCGGTGAGTGGAAGAACAGTACTAGTCCAAAAAGTAAAATTTGAGATAATCAAGTTTTTAAGTTAAAAAATTCTGTTTACAGTAACTTATGGACTTTAGAAGCCAGGAAATTTTGTAGCTGTTTTTACAAAGTTCCTAATAGCTTGTTAGTACAATCATTGGTTATAAAAAATTTTTTTTTTTATTTTAAAACAATTTAAAAATATCATTGGACAAGTACTGTTTTTCTTCTCAATTATGTTTTTGTTTATAATTTCCCTGATAGTTCTTTTAAATTAAAATAAAAATAATATAAAATAGTAGGAATAGTTAAAACATAATAGTAACACTTTATTGTTTAGTAACTTAAGCTTTTTTAACTTCATTTGGGCTTTTTCTTGCTTGCCCTTCGTGATACACGTAACAGTGGCCCGTATTTTCTTTTAAATCATGAATTTCAAAGGTATTTACTCACAGTTGACGATAATATAATACCTCTTGAACAGGTATATTAGGTAAAGGAAGGTTTTGCATAAAATCAAAACATATTGCTGCCACACTAGGATTTTCCTTACATAGATTCTCAACTTCTTTAAGTTTATTATAAAACTTATTGGCACGTTTTTTGTGGATTAAATACTGCACTGCTGTTACTCTCTTTGTATTATCATTTAAGTTTTTATCCCGGATTCTTGATTCCAAGTTCTCACACTCTGAACATACGTCCACTTGAGGTCTTCCAAAGCTGAAGTTATAATTTCCTTGAAAAATCTTTAGGTAGTACTCATATTTTATTTTATTTTCAAGATCCAGGTGCTTTTTAATAAACAATCTGTGCATTTCCTTAGTATTTAAGGTACAAGGCAAATACCGTAAAGGTTTAGAAGAACAATGAAACGTTTCCAGCGGAAATGATTCAATGTGTTCCTTCATATTTATAATGAACTCGTCTTTTATCTCAGACGGTCGATTGTTGTGCTTTCCACGTCCATCTTTAGGTAATATACCAGATAACAAAATACTTGTTAATCTTTGCACTTGAATATGTGATATAGCATGCAAGCTCATAAAAGCCTGTTTGCAATCAGATATGCGTAATTCGTTCTTGTTGACAATATAAGCAAAATTACTCGCCCTTGGTTTTGCATTTGCTCCATCAATCTCAGACCTTTGGCGGCGTCTAATCACAGATTTTGTTTCGATCAGCTCGAGTAAAAAAGTATCAAATTCATTTTTCGGTTTTCCATCATTTAAATTATGAATTATTTTTTTTTTCGTCATTGGAAAACGTATTCATACATTTGCATCTGCAAACGCAATTAGGACCAGTAATTTTAGAAGTAACTAGATTACCTGATACTGAAGTATAAGAAGCTCCATTTTGACGAGCGATCTTAATTTTTTGACGTTTCCATGTTTGAGGACAAACTTTGCGATTCTTTCCTATCTTTGGTATTTCATTTTCTTCACCTGACGTAGTGTCAGAGTCAGTCATTTTTATTTCACAAAAACGTTTAAACAAAAAAACAAAACAAAATATGTACTCATAAAAAAATATTATTAATATTGCAAAAAATTAATAATGTAAGGACACATTCACACCACAACAATAACAATAACCATAGAGATAAATAAATGATAATAAAAACACTGTTTTTCCACTCATCAAACAACAAATATATCCGTGGAAAGTGAAAAAAGGTTGAACTAGTACTATTTTTACACTCAATACTTAGATCTAAATTAGATGAGTTTATTCGCAAAAAAAAAAACGAAATATCGAATTTTGGACTATACTGTTCTTCCACTCACCGAATCAATTAATGTCTATTAATTATTGAATTGATGAATCTAAGTTGTCAATAATTTCATCTTTATTTGAGCATTAGATTCACAACATATGATCGAATTAGAGGTTTTTAATATTGATTGATAGAATATTCTACATTAATTTATAAAACAATCACAATGATTAAGTATAATCAGAATGGTTTTTTCTTTTATATCTTTTGTAAAACATAATTCCAACGTGTATACTGTATATGTGTATAATATATATTACCAGGTGTATGCATAAGTTTTTGCCGGTTTTTGTGGTAAAAAAAAAACAAATAATTTCAAAGGAAAATCATTTTTCGTTTATTCAAAATATTGGCCATCTGCTTGTACACACTTCGCCCATCTTTCAGGTAAATTATGAATACCTTGCCAGAAAAACTGTTTCTCTTTTGCGGCAAACCATTCGTTGAGCCATTTTCCAACTTCTTCGAAATTGCTGAAGTGTTGCTCTGCAAGCGCGTGCCCCATTGATGCGAAGAGGTGATAGTCAGATGGTGCCAGGTCAGGGGAATACGGCGGGTGCTGAAGGATGACCCATCCAAGCGATTTCAAAGTTTCTTTCACTAGTTTTGATGCGTGAGACGGCGCATTGTCGTGTAACAAAATCACCTTGCCATGTCTTCTGGCCCATTCCGGTCGTTTTTCGATCAATGCGTGGTTCAGATTATTCATTTGTTGACGATATAGTTGTGCATTAACGGTTTCGCCGGGCTTCAAGAGTTCATAATACACAACACCGATCTGGTCCCACCAGACACAAAGCATGGTTTTTTTGCCGAAGCGATTTGGCCTTGGTGTTGAAGGGCCAGCTTCACCGGGGGACAGCCACGATTTTCTCCGCTTCGGGTTTTCAAAATAAATCCATTTTTCGTCACCAGTCACAATCCGGTGCAAAAATGATTTTCTTTCGTGGCGTTGAAGCAGTATTTCACAAGTGAGTTTGCGATTTTCAATTTGACGTTCATTCAAATCGTGTGGAACCCATTTACCAAGTTTATGAATCTTCCCCATTGCTCGCAAACGTCTGCTGATTGTTTTTTGTGACACATTTAAAACTTTTGCCAATTGCTGTTGAGTTTGAGTTGGGTCCTCGTCCAGTAACGCCTGCACTTTGACGCGTATCCAATATATACGGTGAACACCACACACAAAATATATATATTTATTTATATAGATTTGTATAGCAAGGTTAACAGCACAATAATTACAGCGGTGGTATAGGAAAATATCAAATATAGTCTATGACTCTATATATATATATATATATATATATATAGATTTAATTATTCAAACCACACCTTTGCGCAATAAGTAAACCAGTTAATAAGAATAGTAATTATAAATATAATCACCAACGACAACGAAAAACAATGAACATGAAAAAATGAAACGCAACAACGAGTCCAGGTTAACGTCAAAAAAAAACCGAACAGCCAAAAGTAAAATACCCCAGTTCAGGTGAACGTCGAAACGAAACAGAACGCAATATCGGTAATCCATATTCGGCGGCGGCCTTATCTCAGTGTCAAGGNTTTTGTGACACATTTAAAACTTTTGCCAATTGCTGTTGAGTTTGAGTTGGGTCCTCGTCCAGTAACGCCTGCACTTTGACGCGTATCCAATATATACGGTGAACACCACACACAAAATATATATATTTATTTATATAGATTTGTATAGCAAGGTTAACAGCACAATAATTACAGCGGTGGTATAGGAAAATATCAAATATAGTCTATGACTCTATATATATATATATATATATATATTTAATTATTCAAACCACGCCTTTGCGCAATAAGTAAACCAGTTAATAAGAATAGTAATTATAAATATAATCACCAACGACAACGAAAAACAATGAACATGAAAAAATGAAACGCAACAACGAGTCCAGGTTAACGTCAAAAAAAAACCGAACAGCCAAAAGTAAAATACCCCAGTTCAGGTGAACGTCGAAACGAAACAGAACGCAATATCGGTAATCCATATTCGGCGGCGGCCTTATCTCAGTGTCAAGGGCGGGGTGACGACCGATGACAACCGATTGTCATATTAATAGCTGGACGGCTGATATCGAGAGAGACACGGGTGAGAGCCAGCCTAGAGCAAAAGGCGGTGCCGTGTCAACTTCCTCGTCATCACACTTTTGTGGTCTACCGGAGCGCGTACTGTCTTTTATATTAAAATCACCACTTTTAAATTGGCGAAACCATGTCTCACATGTTCTAATCGATGGAGCGTGTTCACCATATGTTTCTACCAGCAAACGATGACTTTCCACAGCCTTTTTCTTTCGATTAAATAGGAAAAGCAATGCGTGCC